GGCCGGGCGAGCGCCCCGGCGAAGGTTTGACTTAACTGGTGTCGTTCCCTCACAGAGCTAACAAGGAAGCTGCAGTGTCCCAGTAGTGCCGTCTCCTGCTCCATTTGCAGTGCTGGCACGATGGAAGCCAAGGGCAAAAGGAAGTTCATGGGGAAGAGTGGGAAAGCGCCTCGTGGAAAAGCGCCGCAAAAAAAAAAGTTTAAAAAAGATAACGGTAAGAAGGCCAAGGCTCCACGTTAAGGAGTTCTAGCTGAGAGATTATTGTTGCGTACAGGCGTGCTTGAACTTCATTTTTTTTTAAGATCCTCACAGAGGTGCTGATGAATTGCGGCCTGGATGAGCAGACTGGAAACTAACCAAGTGGGGGGGCCCAGAGTAGTGGTAGTCAGTGGCACAAAATCTAGTTGGAGGCCAATAGCTAACAGCTTACACCAGGAATCAATGCCGAGTCTAATCCTGTTTAGGAGCTTCATTAATGGTCTGGATGATGGGGCGGAGTGTAGCATCAGTAGGTTTACCTGTGACACAGAATGAGAAAGAGTGGCCAAAGCGTGAAAGGTCATGCTGCCCTCCAGAGGGACCTCAGTGGGCTGGAGGAAAGAGGTGTAAGGAACATCACCAAGTTCAACAAGGAGTGAAATGCAAAGCCATTCTTCTGATGGGGAACAACCTCATGCACCAGTACATGCTGGGTGAATACTGCTTTGCTGAGAATGCCCTGGGACTCCTGGGGATCACAAAGTTGAGTCAGCAATGTGCCTTTGAGACAGAGGCAGCTAATTGGATGCTGGGCCACAGTAGGAGGAGTGCTGCCATCAGGTCCAGGGATGTGATAGTTGCTTCTCAGCACTGGTGAGGCCCCACCTGGAGGTTTGTGTCCAGTTCTGGGCCCCCCAGTAGAAGAGAGATGGGAATGTACTGGAGAGAGTCAAGCAAAGGGCCACAAACCTGTTGAAGGGTCTGGACCATCTCTCCTGTGAGGATAGTTTGAGAGAGCTGGGACAGTTCAGCCTGGAGAAGAGAATGCTGAGGTGAGTGTTGTCCTTGTGTGCAAATACAGGAAGGGAAGAAGTAAAGACAGAGCCAGGCTCTTCTCAGTGGTTCCCAGTGACTAGACCACAGGCAGGGGGCACCAACTGAAACACGAGAGGTTCCCTCTGGGAATTAGGAAGCACTTTTTTACTGTAAGGGTGACCAAGTACTGGCACAGGTTGTCCAGGGAGATGGTGGAGTCTCCCACCTTGCAGATGGTCAAAAGCCACCCCAGCATGGTCCTGGAAAACCATCTTTCAGTGGCTCTGCTTGAGTAGGAGGATTGGACCAGACCACCTGCAGAGGTCCCATCCAACCTCTGCGTTCAAAACTATACTGACCGTATGATCAAATAACCCAGAAAAAGTAAAGCTGAAATGCTTTAGACAGATAGCTCTGATTGATTGTTTTATATATTTATATATATATTAGTATTAAAAAGTAGTTTAATTCTTGTTATAGTAATAACTTGTTATTTTGACGCAATGTTAACTCTAGGATAATATTTTCCTTTCTGTTTTGCTGTGTAATAGATTCGGGTCCACCAAAGAAACTTCTTAACAAGGGAGATGAGGTAGGAAAGCCAAAATCCATTTCCAAGAAGTTTGGGAAAGGGCAGTTAAGACCTGGAAGAACCAATGTCAAACAATTCAAGAATAAACAGCAATCAGAAAAGCTTGCAAAGAAGAGGAAGCTCCAGGATGGTGAAGAAAGTGGTGAGCAGATTAAGTCTGAACATTAAGCCTAGTGGAAACTAGGTTTTGGGAAACATGTCTTTCATCTAGGTCTTCCTCTTTCTCCCTGCCTTGTTACCACCTTTCAAATTTGACTGAGTGACTCCAAGTTTACTTCATGTTTAATCTTTGCTGTAGAAAAATTTACTTACTAAGCTAAAGGCCAAAGTTGTGGGAATCAACAGTTAAAAATATCTTTGGATGTAAAAAAATAAAAATGCAGTAGCAAATCTAAATAATTGGTATGCCATCATAAAGCTATGATTATTTTAATACCCGTATTAAGTGGCTAGGTTGAAACTGTCTTGTTTTCCACACAAATCTGGAGAAGAATGGTTTTTCGTAGACCGTCTTAGAAATTTAATGCTTTGGAAAAGTACTAACTATAAAATTTAGAGCACAGATATTCATGAAACGGTGTTGATTATCCTGTATGTTATTTTTTATTGTGGTCCAAACTATCTAGACACTTCTATAAAAATTAAAAGAGAAAATAATCAATGTTGTCACTGGTTTTACATTCTGTATCTTGTTTTTATGTTTATACAGAGGCTAAATTAATGTCTGGTTTTATTATTGTTGAAATTAATTTCTTTTTTAACTTTGTTTCTGGTACCTGAGAACCTCATGCTATTTTATCCTCTACTGTGAAGCAAAGCTCTAGTGGGACAGTCACAGCACTGTAAAATGGGAAGTGGAATCTTTATGTGAGGGATTCTGAAGTTCTGCTGAAAAATGTTAGTTGTTTGAAGGACAGCAGAAGGTGTTGAGTATTCTAGTGTCACTGCTGTTGCATGTTTGCAGAGTGGCTTCACTTGGAATATGCTCTAAATGTTTGGAAATTTAATAGTAACACAATGTTCATATTAAGTTACTTAAAAACAATGCAAAGCAATGCAGCCACAAACAAATCTCTAAATATTGTTTACATATGTGAAAGTTGCTGCTTTCATAGTGAAGTGTTGCTGATTTTGCTTGTCGCTGTTACTTTAGGAGAGTGTTAGAGAAAAAGTAATAATGTGCTTTGTAAACAGAGAGATTTTGGATGGGTGAGATAGTTAAGCACAGGCTAGTAAGAAACAACAAGTGGTGCTTTAAGGTCTAGAAATGTAACACTGTGTCTTTGCTGTTCCATGCAGAACTTACAGTTAGCATGACCTGGTTCTGTGAAACCAGATAACGTAAGATGATGATGAGTTTTGCTGAGATATGACTACAACTGGAATCAAACACTTGAAGTTTTTCATTGGTGTGTTTGTGGCGCTTTATAGTAGGTTAGCTTAACTGACTGCTATGTGGCACTGCATAGCTGTTGCATAGTAAAACCCCACGATCAGGGATTTTGACTGAGTAAAAAGACTAAGCATGTCAAAAGGCTTTTCTTTTTCTTTTTGCCCCTGAGATTTTGGATATCTATCTTTGAATTAGGCTGCTTCTTCTGAAGGAGGGAAAACATATGTTTGAGTACAGGATGAACTAAAAAAGAAAAATTACCTGAGGCACTCACAGACTGCTAGGTGCATCTTGAATGAATTTTCAGGATATTAAGAGGTTTGTGATGCATCCTTTGACAGAAGTTTGAGGAAAATTCATTGTTTGCCTTGTTCTTCCAGTATTTTAGGAGTGGAAATCACTAGCTTAGCATACTTATTATGTGTTTATGCTTTCATATTACATAGCTGTGTAACTGCAGGCAAAGATCCTGGATTGTTAGCAATTCAAGTCACAGAGCTGCCACAGTTTATACAAATAAAGGATTCCTCTTTTATTGGCTGTAGAAAACGTATTTATTTTTGTCTTCAGGGTCAGATCCTAAGAAGCCGAAGTGGAGTGACTTCAAAAGGAAAAAGAAGGACTTAAAGCAAACAAGACAACTTAATGATAAAAGTAATTATGACATAATTGTAAAATCAAAGCAAATATGGGAAAGTGTGAGAAGGTAATAATTATTTTTTTTTTCTTTCATTCAGTTAGCCTTTAGTCATAAGTTGCAAGAAGGCCCTCTTTCTCCTCTTGTAGTTATATGAAACTGTATTTCCATAGTGAAACTCCACGGGTGAATGACAGCTTTAGATGCAATTCTATAGATGGTTCAAGCAGATTGTGGTGACCCATGGGGCTAGCAAAGTCTGAATTGAGCTCACTTGTATTTTAGACTAAAATTGGTGAGTAAATGCTTAAGGAATTATCTTTTTTCCCTCCTGAATCCTGAAGCACAGAGCTTGTACTAATTGAGCCTGATCTTGCAATGGGTTCACTATGTGAGTTTTTTCTGGAGGTTTATATACTCTGTCTGGGCAGGTGTAATTCTAGAACTGGGCCCCCACACTGGAAGGATTTTACTTGGTGTAAATGTCAGTGCTTTGCAGCTGTGACTGTAAGATGCTTAATATCTTTGGGTCTATAAGCAATTCTGGCAGCAGTTTTGATGTTTTGTTCCATGTAATAATATTGTTATTCAGCAATTAATTCTAAAGTGTGGAAACCTTGTCTGGTTTCTACGAACTGAAGCTTCTTAACTACATCTGCAGGTTTAATGAATGACAATGTAAGTTTGAGTTAACAGGAGCTATCTTTACTTTATAGTGTCTTTTTAGATGTCTTTTTAGTGATTTTTAGATGTAAGTGAATCATACTACAAAAAAGCTACTTCCTCAATTAGGATTGTTTTACTTTTTCTGCTTGTAGGAAGAAATGCGATAAGGAAAAGCGGGAAAAGCTAATGAATGAACTACAAAAGCTTCTTCATGGAAAAATTAAAAGTGTAAGAAAAAACAATGCTATAGTGCACAGACTCACAAAAGCTTCTTTAAAGAATGGTGAAATTTAAATGAACGTCTAATAATACAGTACTAATGTGCTCTTCCAAAAGCTACAGTGAGTAAAAAAAGAACAAAAACAGAATTGAAAGGTGGCATTTGGCACCTGGTTTTCAGACCAGTAATCCTGTGATACTTTGTCTATCAGATGACTATTTTATGGCTGTCTCCTCCACCAAGCATCTTTAGTCCAGTGAAATTCTATGTTAAATGAAGCTCAGAACCAGCCACTCAGAGTTTTGATTAATTACAATTGTTGCTTTAGAGCTTTCTTTTAGAGAAGTTAACGTCCTGATAATTAACTCAGCCAAACAGTCTTTCTGCTTAATTCTTGAAATATATGAATTTGCAGTTGGTTTTTAAAGTCATTCTTGGTATTCCTTGCCCAAGTGGAACTGTATCATCATACTGACTCTGAAATTACAAAGGAAAATGAAAGAAAACAACCATTTCATGGTTCTCTTTCAATATTAAAACCTTGATGCATGTCCTTAATTATCAGCAAGCGCAAGTACTGTCTATGTTGTGTTCAACAGACTTAATTATAAAGCAGTGAAAAAGCCCTTAAAACTTAATTGTTTGTAAACAGGTAACTACTTTTATAATTAGCATTATACGCTGCATGTGGCATAAAGCTGTGTCAGAGAGCAAGTACATTAAAACAAATTTGGTGCATAAAGCCATTTGAACAGCCTAAGATAATGAAATATATCTGTCCTGTAGCTGGCGTTTGCGCATGATTCAACTCGAGTGATCCAGTGCTTTATTCAGTATGGTAATGAGCAGCAAAGGCAAGAGACGTTTGAAGAATTGAAAGGTACTTGCATTTACATTTTACCTATATGCTTCTGTGGTGTTAGAATGCATAAAAACAAGCCGTATTTTTTTCTCTGTAATATTCTTAACATTTTGGTGAACCAGCGCGTTGTTCCTACTTAGCTTTTAGAACTTTGTTAAATGATATCTTTTTTTGTAGAGTTACTGTAGCCAATAATCAAACCAGCTGAATGTTTTTGTCCTCTTCTAGGTAGCCTAGTAGAGTTGAGCAAGTCAAAATATTCCAGAAATATTGTGAAGAAGTTTCTTATGTATGGGTGAGTATGAATTGAATTTGTTCAGCTATGTTGCATTGTTTCATTTCCAGTGTGAGTGCTGATCTTCATCTATAGTGCATTGGTCATGAATAAAAAAACATGACTGTGGAAACATCTTTATAGTTGTAACAAGACAGGACAGTGTGTGATAATGCTGACGGCAATTTTCCTTTTGCAAAAAGTAAAGCTGAAGCTGTCTGTGTTGAGGAAAACATGGCAGAAAAAATTAAGATATATACCCAAAGTTGATGTTTGCCTTATACAAAAAAAATTGGCATTTAAAATTCTTCCCTGCTTAGAGGAAAGCATCCTTTATTCTGTAGAATTTACCCACCAGTTTCTTTTTTTCCCCTTAAAATGCCTTATGATTTCTCCAGATTCCTGGCTTTCTTGGCATAGTCTCGTAAATGCCATATGGCTGATCCAGATGCGTGTATTTCCTGGTTTCTGTGCTCGATCTTAACACCCCAGTGTGCTTCCAAAACCAAAACTATTGATAGGTTAGCTTATCCCTGAAGGTTTTAACTCTTGCTTTCTGTCTTTTCCTGCAACTCAGGACGAAACCACAAATTGCAGAAATAATAAAAAGCTTTAAAGGCCATGTGAAAAAAATGCTCCGTCATGCTGAAGCATCTGCTGTGGTGGAATATGCATATAATGACAAAGCTATTCTGGAGCAGAGGAATATGCTGACAGAAGAACTCTATGGGAACACTTTCCAGCTTTACAAGGTGATGTTTTAATACTTTAAGGTGTATAAAAGGGACTAAAGATTATAATTTTCTATGAACTCTGATATTTACTGGGAAAAAACTTCTGATTGTGTATTCCTTTCAGACACCAGTTGTCCCAACACTTGATAAAGTGTTAGCAGCTCAGCCTGAAAAGAGAGAGGCCATCTTGGACGAAATGAAACAGATTCTTACACCAATGGCACAAAAGTAAGAACAAAAATTAATCTGGCATGAAACGGTTTGTTTCTGACATACAAACAGGCACTAATACTCTTTTAAGCTCATATGAAAGTGATATTGATACCCTTAAGCTGTAACATTGCTGTGTTGTGTAGAAAGTAACTACAGTTTTGTCTTGAATATCTTGCCGGATTTTAGAATTTAATTTCTAAGTTTTGGTAGAATCTTCTCTGTACTGTAATTGCTAAACATCTAACACAGAATGACTGTGCTTTATGCGCACGACACTGCCTAACTTTGTTTTGTAAAAGCAAATGAAGTATTGTTAGCTTAAAACTGTTACTTCTTGTTTATTTCCTGTCCCCAAATACAGAGAGGCTGTGATAAAACACTCACTGGTACATAAAGTATTTCTGGACTTTTTCACTTACAGTCTGCCGAAACAAAGATCTGTAAGTATATTTTGTTTGGTTTTTGTCCTCTTTTGCCTTTGAGTGGAATGTTTTTAATCTTGCTCTGAAAGTGTTGTAACTAGACAGAAATACACATCTTTAAATATAGAGTTTTACACATCTGGTGATTCCAGATAGATGACTGGGCGGTGATGTTGTATGGAGCTTTACAGTCACAGTGAGTTTTCACACTAAAACAATAGTGTTTGTGATATTTGAACTAAAAAAAATTCAGAAATCTAATGAAATAACTTCTATTTTCTCTCTCCATGCTAAATGGTCCTTCTTAATAGCTGAGGAATAACTAAGGCTGAGGACATTGCTTTTAGTGGTTTAGCCTTCCAGTGTGTAGTTTTTTAACAACCTCTAGCCATTGTCCAAAAAATTGTGTACCGAAATGCAGTCCCATTGGGCCCTTCTGTCAGCTGACAGAACTTTGTCTTCTGCCTCCTCCTGAATCAAGCGTGAGGCTTGTATCCCTGTGTCTGTATTAAATTGCAGTTTTAAGCTTACCCTGGCCACTGCGGCAAAAAACTAGGCCTAAATCCTTATGTGCGATGTGACATTGTACAAGCTGCTTCCCCTGTCTTCACACTGTGCCCATCAGCCTCCTCCTGCTTCTGCAGTTCAGCACCATCTCACTCCAGACTAAATGGAGATTTCTAGACTTGCTGTCCCTTGCCTTATTCTGCTGGACTGGACTCCTGAACTGTTGATAATGTTAACAAATGCAAAGCTGGGGCTGGTGAGGTGGACTGTTCATCACCTGTTCTGAGTCTAAATGTTTCCCATTTAAATGCTTCTGTGCATGGTATCATGTAATGCTTTGTCAGAGAATGCTGCTGGATTCACAGTCCCATGTGAATCTGGGGAGTAAGGGCTTAACTGCTCCTTGTTGCCTGGATTTTTGTGCAGACTTGGTAGCATATGGATATTCTCTTTGGGGTTTGGAAACCTATTTTGCACATTTGTGTGTATAGGTAGTGACTCCAGTCATCTTGTGACTGAACTGTTTCTAAATAAATGGTAAAATGCTTGCAGCCTTTCATTGGGGAGTGAGAAGTTAGGGATAGAAAGGGAGATGGATGGGATCTTCATGTCAAAGAAATCTATCAGATAAGAACAGGAGGTAGTGTCTAGTTAACTGGGAGGTTGTTTTGTTTTCTTTTTTGACTGATGGTGTTATTTGTCGGATGATTTCAGAACCATATTGCTACGATATGAACACTGACTTCCAGCTGAATCTTGTACTATCTGATTGTAACATCACCTAATGCTTGAATGACCTTTTAGTTTCTGACTAATACCCTGTATGTATAAATAAATTGCATCACCTTCAGAGATCTTCTTCCTAGATGAGTGGTTGTCTTTGTCTCTGTTTTCTCTCTCAAGTCTGAGCATCCTTCCTTGAATTTTATGTGATAAGACAACTGACAATGTTCAGTACAGTTCTAATTTCATTGGATGAACATGGTGAACACAGGTTTTGAGGTTGGACTCCTTTTGAGGTGGTTTTTCAGAGGTCAAGGCAGTAAGCTTTGTTTTGTAGAGGTACTGATGCTCTCTATAGTATTGTGGGCAGACAAAAAATCCTTTCATGCCCTCACCCACCCGCTTTGAGATTTTTTCAGGCTTTTTCTTTTCAACTATTATGCTTTATAACCTTTTCTTCCCCAGGAAATGATAGAAGCTATCAGAGAGGCTGTCATCTACTTGGCACACACTCATGATGGAGCCCGAGTAGCGATGCACTGCTTATGGCATGGTACTCCCAAGGTATTGTTTGATTTCTGTCTACCCAGTCCTCTGTAATAATAGTATAGTCTAAGACTGTGAGTAGAGTATGATTGCTCACATGGGTCCTTCTGTCACTGTATATTGATGCAGTTAAGTATTTGAAAGCAAAGTTAAAAAGGTAAAGCTATTGGCAGATATAAGCAGTAGTTTTTGGTGAATCAGGTGCTTTCATTAGAACTTTTATAGTGGAAGCATTTTATTTTATTTTTAGTAGAGTTCTCAGAGATGACAGGTAAAGCTTTTCTGTTTTAAGATTACTGGTTATTCATTCATCTTGTAGATTTCTTAGTGCAGCTGAAATTGGCAGTAGGAAGATGTCAGTAAAGAATTTATAATGTGGAATGATGTTTGGCTTTGGAATGCGAAAGAAAATGTTACAGGAATGGTGTTTTAGTTTCTTGTCTTGATACAGTACCTTGAACTACTTCTGGTGTTTAATATGCCATCATCTCTTGAAAATACTGTAATGCCTCCTATCTTTTTCAGTATATAAAAAAAAGACTTATGAAAATAGTCTGCTTGTTAAAGAGTTCAGAAAAAAATGAAATTTCTAGGATCTAGGGGTTGTAATGGGTCTAAAAAGATCGAGCAGTGATTGCAAGAGTTGAAAAAAGCAAGCACTGAGTAAACTTTCTGCCAAAAAAAGTCTTGCTAGTAAAGAAGTTTTGCGATAAGCTAGAGTCCTTGCTACTTTAAAGTTTCAGGTCATGTTGAGTAAGTGAAGTGTTGAAGTGCATTCTTCTTAAGTAATGAGCAACGTAGAGGTGAACATACGTGATGGCTTGGTTTAGGGTTTTCTTTGTTTTTCACATTGATATCTTCCACTGGTAAGTGGGACTTAAACATTTCACTGAACCAACTTAGTATTCGGCCTGTCACAGATCAGGTGTAAGCCTTCACAGTCTTTCTCTGTGTTGAGTAATAGTACAAATGTGAGATTTTGGTATATAGACTTTGCTTTAGTAAGCAAATGGAAGATTATCGTTTTGAAAGTGTAGTTATTCAAATTCACCGACATTATAAGCTTATTCAAGTTTGTTGTTTCCTTTTGCATAGGACCGAAAAGTCATTGTGAAAACTATGAAGACATATATTGAAAAAATAGCAACGGTGAGTGTTCATTAACCATTTATTTTACAGTCTTCGAGACACAAGTGGTTTGCTAGAGGCTAATTTAAATGTGCATTGGTACTGGCAACAACTATGAGATCTTAAAACTAAGTTGAAAATAGTGGTCATATATTTGATAATATGAAATATATTGAACATTATGGAATATTTAGACATACTCGGAAGCTGCACCGTGGGTGCTACATGTAGTATTATCCTTCTTTAAAGCAGCTGAGTTAATTGTAAGTATTTTTCTACGTTTTTTTTTCCTTTTGAGCCCAATTTTATATTGCATCTTTATATGACTTACTGGTTAATTCTTGACTGAAAGTAAAATAACATGTTAAATCAGGAACCTGAAAAATGATTTAATGTTGAAGTGGCATACAATAGAAGAAATCTATTTATATTTTTTTCTGAGTAACATGTATATTTGGAGGCTGCAGCAGCAATAGAGTAACTGTTGCAACCAGATTTCATAACACTGGGCAAAGTTGCAACTGGAAGAAAATATATGTAAATTTTTTTCACTTCCTGGTCAGTGATCTCCAGGCTTTTTTGATCACACATCCCTGAGCATTCATCCCTTATTTATTTGTTTGTTTGTTTGTAATTAATTATATATATTTATTATGTATAGCATTGATTATGTATCGATTATGTATACGTACTACTGTACTAGTATACTTTATACAACATATACAGAAATAGAAATTTTAAAAGGATGAGATAAAAGTAGTCAGTGGGTATTTTTATATGTTTCTTAATGGCAAAAAAATATTTTCTTCCTGCACCACCGTGGTTTGTCCTGTGCATCCCACTTTGGAGGCCACTGTGTTGTTTCTCTCCATAATTTTTTAGTACCAGAATAAATGAGTTGTTGTGTTTTATAAAATATATCTATTATACAGAAGTATGACTCAGTGTATAAATAATAGTTAAAACAACACTGAAGCACTGAAGGTTTGGCTTCACTTTGATGCATAGTGTCGCTGACATACCAGTGAATTGAGTTGAGCCCTTTTGAGTGTGCTGGGCTCTTGCTCTCCAACAGTGTGGTGGAGATGGTACAGCTCTTCGCAGAGACATGATCTGCATAAACACGATATGTGATTAATCTCAGTTTTAAGCTAATCCACCATAGAAGTAAAATCTGTATGTAATATTCCTGCAAGGCAAATCCTATGATTTCAAATTACAGTTTTACAGTAGGATTAGGTAAACAGCTTGGATGTGATAAAGCAGCATATCAGTTTATAATGGCAGATGAACTTAATCTATCTGTTTTCACAACATGCTTCCTTAACAAGCCTTGATTTTAGGGAGAGCCTCAAAATTGGCCTTTTCTCTCTCGTTCTGTGACAGTAGACAGGATTTGGTTGTGATTCGTCTTGTGTCATGTTTGATACAAACTCAAAAACGTTGATTCTAGATGAGTATATTCATGGAACTTGACTGCATATGGTTTCTAATGTTTCATCTTTGCAGGGTGAATTTTCTCATCTGGTCTTGCTGGCAGCATTTGATTGCATCGATGACACTAAACTGGTGAAACAGTTAATTTTATCAGTAAGTAATTGAATTTTTCCTGAAATAATATACTGAATTGTGTCAGTGTGTTTTTTCACAGTATAGGAGGATGAGAGTAAGAATCTATCCAACCATTCAATTCCTTTCCACTTTTTCATTTCATTACATTTGTGTGTTGTGATTATTTTTTTCTTTTCATAGAAGACTTCAACGCTTTCATATGTTCTCTTTAGTTGTTTGAACTAGTTTTAGGATAGATTCAGTGCTTACTGAAAATTACCCCTTTTTGTATCTTTATTCTAGTTAATCTAGCTGGATTCCATCTGGCTAGAAGGAATCTCTTTAAAGTCAATGCCCTTATCATAGACGTTTGAGCTCTGCTAGTATTTCAACAGGTTAAACTGGTGAAAAACTTGAGAATGAGGATGTCACTTTATTTATTTTAGAGGCAAACCTAAAATATCTTGAATGTTTGTGTCTGGATTCTCCTTATTGTGCAAACGTATTATTGTAAAAAGGATTGTTTAGAACATTTAGCTCTTTTCCAGAAGTAGCATCTCGCAAAGTGGTACTTCAAGCTAAACTATAGTAAACTTTCAGGCTTGTGGCAGCAGGCCTGGCTGTAGTATATCATGACTTGAAGCAAGAAAAAGAGACTTTTGTTTTGATGCTGAAACCACTGGCTCACATTAATTCTCAAAACTTGACATTTTTACTTAATATGTTGATAATTAAAGTCTGGACAAAATCCATGTACCATCTTTATCTTGATTCCAAAATGTTTACAGATGGATGTCTGAAACATGAGAGCATTCTAGATGTTTTGATTCACTTACGTGTAATTGTAAAATGAGCGATAAGGATAGTATGATATGGTGTGCATCTGCTTCCTTTTGGAATGCCCCATTTCCCTACCTTCCTTCCAAAAATTATCTGAACGGTTTGATAAAGTGTTTATACTTAAGATTATGTTTACATTCAAATTTTAATCTATAAATTACCATAAAGTTATGTTTCCATACTGGAGTATGTTTCCATACTCCATGGTGCACAGTTAATTTTCATGCAATCAGGGTAATTGACGTTGATGTATGGGTTGTAAATGTGCCTATCAGTTGTCCTCATGCTGTAGCATTTAGGACTGGCAGGTTGAGAAGCAGGGAGACTGAGGTGAGGTGAATACACTGGATGTGGAGGAAGAATATGAGGAAGAAGTAGAAGTGGTTATGATGAGACTTGCTTCAAAAAATATGAGCAGTTCTTCCATTAAGCAACTTTGTATAGGGGAGAACTGGGTTTGGCACCCTAGCATGGAGATTTGGCCCTAAGTCTGTAACTCTGTGATGGGTGTGCAGAGATCAAATGATCCCATTGTGGAAATGTGGGATCCTTTTATTTCTCCTGTATATTAGCTGTGATCACAGCTGGGTTTTGCTTCCAGAATCTGGTCTGCATTGCAACAGCTTCTGGACAAGTTCCAGGCTCTGATGGATCAGAGGTGTCTTGGTTACAAGATCATTGAGGC